GGAGCAGAGGGGTTTAGATGGGTCGGAAGTTCTGGGGGTCTGTCTGGGGGTGGGGGGGTGGATAAGGGTTGGAGCAGTCAGGGTACAGGTAGGGTCCTAGGGGTCCAGTTAGGATGGGGGGGAGGGTCTCAGGAGGGGGCAGTCAGGGGACAAGAGGCAGGGAGGCTTAGGTAGGGGGTGGAGTCCTGGGGGGCAGTTAGGGGCAGGGGTCCCAGGAGGGGGCAGTCAGGGGACAAGGAGTGGGGAGGAGGGTTGGGGGTTCTGAGGGGGGTGGGAAGTGGGAGGGGCAGGGGCGGGGCTAGGGCAGGACAGGGGCGGGGTTAGGGTGGGGCTCCTCCCGTCCTCTTTTTTGCTTGCTGAAATATGGTAACCCTAGTTCTACCCTTTCCCTGACTGGCCCAAACTGCTCCAAAAATGGCTTCTCCCCTCTCCTGAGTTCCCAGGGAAGGGCACCTCACTCCCTATTGGTTGCCGAGCAGACTCTGAGTCTGCCCTTGGCTCTCCTTTCCTACCAGTGACAGTGTGCCTCTCCCTGAGCTACCTGCACACAGAGCCCCAAGAATCTAGGTAATCTCCTTGGGATTTACATATATATTCATATCATTGTCCCTGGACAGTTTCACCCTGCTGGATGCCTTCAGATGGTGAACACTAAAGGACAGGGACCTGACTCTGGCTTTAACACAGTTTACCGGCTATACAGCATGGAGTACAGATACTCCACAGTACAGATAACAGGAACAGAATTCTACAGGTAGTTAGGTAACAGACAACTTAAAACCTATTTCTGAATAATATATTGTGCAATAACCGATTACCGTATTTCCATTATTATACAGCAGCAAGATTTTGCTGGGCAGTTAACAATTTTGTAATTAAAGGTCTAACCATTATTATAAAGAGTATTTAGACCATATTTTTCTTCCCAGTGAAAAAGCAATACCAAAGCTTGTGTGTAAATGGCATATATATTCCATAAGGACACATTTGCACTTAATTTACTGCCACATTCCAGGAAACAAGGTAGACATATCACTGCTTTTCACAGAAGTTACAGTGAAAAGCCAATAAATGATAAAATAAAACTGAATATTTTCAAGGTTATTATAGAAATTATCTATTATACTAGATAATTCCTGCACTCTAGTTTAACACTGAACCTTTAGTCCCATCCCAGTTTTTATTTATGTTGGATTTTAGCTCTTTAATTATCAAATTATGAAAAACATATAAATGATTTTTTATCCATTATGTGACCAGTGAAGAAGCATATTTTACCCTCCCTGCCTGCACTACAATATCAGTCAGCAGCAAGAGAGCAGCAAATCAGACAAAAACTGGGAAGAAATAAGGTCATGGACCCAACTAAGGAGTTAACTGTTGTTCCAGATTTTTGCCGATGACAATATTTCTATTTTTTCCTCTTTTCTTTCAAAGGAATGCTATATCAATTCTGAGAACCGAGGAAAGAAAATGTTGCACTTTTGCTCCACATCATTTTTGAAGTGCAAATCAAGGTAATCTCATCTTCTCTCAAAAACATTACACTCAGGCAAGCACATATGGGGGGAGGGGAGAGGGGGAGGTATTTGTAGCAGCAGGAACCTTTTATATTGAGATGAACTAGAAAATAATGTCCAGAGTGTGAATAATGTGTGTCATATTGTTAGCATTTATTCTGACCAACATAAATGTTCCTTTCTATGGCAATGAGTAGGTTTCTTCTTACTCCATAGCATTTTCAGTACTATTACCTGCCTATAGACTTTTAAGTTTTTATTAGCTTGTAGGACATTGTAAGGAAAAATATGTTGACTTTACCTTCACAAGACAGGCCATGAGAAGTAACTCCAGAGAGGCTCTCTCTGCACACATTACAGAAGGTAGGTCGGGCATGGGAGCAGGCGTACCAGTTATGCATCCCTGAGAAATGTTCCACATTAAACTGTGCGGTCTAGTAAAGGAGAAGTTAAGACAAATTTGCAAGTACAGAACACAGCTATAGAAACTGAAAGTACTTAGGAGTTCCATATTTATGCTGGAAAATTCAATGCGGAGAAGTACATTGAAAGGAGACTAAAAGCTCTCTGTCTCAAAACCTCAGAACAAGAGCATAATAGCATGAATTGTACTAGTAAAATAAAGATTTAACAAAAACTGCATTTTAACCTTACAGGTTTTTCACACTCCACAAGACTGTATGTCTTGGGTTCTGTGTACTGTAGAGCTTGGTATATTAAATCAATATGTATCCTGAAAGAACAACAACATGCACTGAAAGGGATATTATCTTACCTCATAATGTTCTCTAGACTGTACAGACTTCAGTGAGCTGATCCAGTCCTCCATCTCTTTTCTGTTCTCAGCACACAATATTAGCCTCCGGAATGGAGTGATTATCTGAAAGAGACTTCTCAATTTAATGATTCTGAATATTATAGATAGGAGAGATCATTACAGAATGTAACATCTGACAAGCCAATTTTTCTTCTCTCTGATGATGCAAGTGAAATGCACACCCTAAATGTATGATAATCAAAACCTTGAATATCAATGAGTTGTGTGTTGTTTTTTAATCACTGTCTTAAAATGGTAAAGTGAACTTTTCTCAATTTAAATTCCCAGGATTTATATCAGGCTTTCATATGGGCTTTAAAAAAATTATTATTTATGTCTCTTTTTCAGCTCTTTATCCATATGTAAATGTAAAACTCCCTGCAAAGCTCTAAAATGGCTAATAAATCTTTCCATAAATTATTTTAAACAGATGTCAGTTCTGTTTCATAACAACATTATAGCAACTGCAAAGTCTATAATTACTGTAGACGAAGACAAATCATACTGATAAACAAAAGCCGAAGATTCATAAACATTCTGCGCATTTCTCATTCCTACATTGGTGATGACATTGTATTTACATAATTGTTGTAATCAAATATAAAAACTTGATTTATGAGTTAATATAGGAATACACCTACACAAGCTGTATAATCAAAAGACACAGAGCAAAAAACAAACAGCTCAAACCCTATGCAATGGTGCCTATGCAGTGCTTCGGTGCACTCTTGGAACAGGTTGATGTTGTGCGGGGTTCAGTAGTCTGGATTTAGATCTTAGACACTGTATTCATCTTGAAATCTGAAGACTGCTGAATCTTGGAGATTCAGAGTAAAGGTGTTTTTTTCTTTCCCCACTAGTAGATAAACAATTAAAAATAACAGTAAGGCACCAAAAACTATCAGCCAACTCCCACAGAAATTATTTTGAGCACCGCACTAAAATAGATATTGTAGTTGCTTTGAGAACAACGAAGGAATCTAAAATAAAAATCTAAGTAATCAAAGGAAGAGTCATTTGCTTCTTCTGCAAAAATTAAAAACTAAAGCGAAAATCTTGTTCAGTCTGAACATGTATTTCATTGTTCATATTGCCTACATTTGGAAATTATCTAAGTAAAGTAACAGCATAAACCACAGGAAAACTGTTAATTTTCTCTCATGGTGTTATAAGGTTCTTGTAACATTTACAATACATACAGTATTAGTAAGTAATTATTTACAACTGTTTTTACTCACCCGGTGACCACGAGATAGCCTCTGCTCCTGGTTTGTGCTATGCAGTTCTTCATTAAACTGAACTGCACTTTAATATATCTGACAAGCAACCTAACTGAAATACAGCAGACTACAAGTCACATGGAAGGGCAGCACAAACCTTTGAGCTTTTTTTTTTTTTTAATGTACAAGCTGCACATGAAACTGAAGGACTCCACTCTGTTTTCTATTTCCTTCAGTCTTCCCCACCCTTTTTTTGATAAGACTTATTAACATCTGTCCACTTCTCTTCCTGAATAACAGTTAATGCAAAGAGCAATGCTTCTCTCATTAGTTAGGAGCCAAATGGATGCTTTATTACTTCAAAATGTTTTTCTGACAGCTCATCAAATGAAGCACAAAGAAGCCATTAAACCATAATATAACCCTGGTTCCAATAACAAGCACCAGGCTTCATCGAACTCATAGATATTATATGAACAAATACTTCCCGCCAGTCTTTATTTTCCAATATACTGTATGATATCATAATAAAGATATGCATTTATAGCTTTAAAGGAAGGACAAGGCTGCCTTAGTCACCCAGCTAGGTCAGAGCATTTCATGTCAATTCCTTCCTTCTGACTACCAACAGAAAGTGTAGTGAAACACATTTAATGCAAAAATACATTTAACTACCTTTGCTCCTTAAAGTTCTTCTTGAAAAACTCTTGATAATCTTTCCAAAAAAACACAGATCAAATACATATATCACTGATGTCTTATCTTTAGTAATATCATTCACATAGAATCCCTTAAGTGAAAAAGTCGAAAAGTCTCTTTGCCAGAATAACTCACGTATAACCATCCCAGATATTCCTATAGCAATACTGGTTTTATTTAATATTTGTTCATATAACTTACAGCAGGCTGTAGCAGAGTCATTAAGTTATACGATTGATGGCTACATATGAATGTTAGATAAATTATTATTAGAGCTATTAAAATAAACACACTGGAAAGTTGGAAGAGCCCCACATATTTGTAGATACAGGACGTAAAAGGCTATGAAGACTAATCTACTTATATTCTTTCTGCTTCACACACTTCCAACAACAAGCTTCAAGGAACAGCCAGTCTGGTTATTGTAAGGGAGCCAGAATACAAAACAAAAAGACAACCTGATGTTATATGAAATAAAAATACCTATGCTGGAATAACATTAAGTTTCTGACCTCCAACCAAGAGAAGCAATGAAGCTATGAATTCAGGTTCTCTCTATCCTTAAGGGGTTTCCTAAGTTGAGAATGATCTTATGTACCATACAATAGGCCATCCTTCTCTTCTCCATTTACACTGAAGGCTATAGGCGCCGACTTCCACTGTTCCCAGTGGGTGCTCGACCCTGCCCCTGGCCCCACCCCTGCACCGCCCCCATTCCACCCCTTCCCCAAAGTCCCCACCCCTGCCCCGCCTCCTCCCCTGAGTGGGTCGCATCCCCGCTCCTCCCCCCTCCCTCCTGGAAAGTCCTAAGCGCTGGGAAGTAGGCAGAGGAGTGGGGACGCGACGCGCTCGGGGGGGAGGGAGAAGGGGGGAAGAGGAGGGGAGCTTGACTGCCGGTGGGTGCAGAGCACCCACTAATTTTTCCCCGTGGGTGCTCCAGCCCCAGAGCACTCACGGAGTCAGCGCCTACGCTGAAGACCCCTCTATATGGGAATATTCACAAAAGGTAAGCTGAATCAACTACATTTGACTGAATTTAAAGTGCATTAAACCACCGTGTGGATGCTTTAATTCAGAAATAAAGTGCTCTTAGTTAACTTTAAAGTGAACTAGAGCCATTTTACTTCTGAAGGAGAGCATCTACATAGCTGTTAAATGTGCTTTAAAATAATGCACTCTAAATTCACACCTCTAGTTAATTTGGCTTAATCTTCCTGAATGTCCCCATGTAGGCATGTCATGAGTAATGTCACATGGTCCCATGGCTAAATACGTAAAATTAGCATACGGTGCTTACACTTAAAAAGTCTCTTACTTTGTGAGTGTGCACACTGTAAATGTCTGCGGGTTTCTAATTCAAAGTAAGCAACTTAAGAATTTGTTGAAACATACATGGTTAAAATGTATCCCAGCACAGATGACCCACCCATGGTTCTCCATACCTCCTAAGCTCTTAAACAGAAGGCTTAAGTGGGGCTTAAATAGTGTGTTAATCCTTTGTTAGATTTCATTACTCTGGTGTAACTTTTACCCATAGTATAAAAAATCCTTTTCCTATCTTTTTGGGAACCACAAAAATCAAGAATGCCCCATTTTAGTCTTGTTAGGACATGATTCATTCACTACAAATATCACAGGTTTTCATGAAGCAACACAAAATTCACATAAAAACAATTTCAGTAAAATATTAGGGCTATCCAATCAGGCCTAAAGAGTTTGAAACAGGCAGAAGAAACCTCCTACAAGATCCTCCCAACCACATCTGCTATCCACGAACATATATATAATGTATACATACAAATACATTATCTCATCAATGGCTTTTTTCCAATGGTATTGCACTCCAACATCATATTTAGTTTCCTTTCTATTGTTACTCAATTCTTACTCCACAGATGGGCATCCCTACCCAATTTGTATTTGTATGTTTTTTCTCGTCTCCCTGAAATTGGAAGAGAAAAGGTACGAAAAATGGCAACAGAAATGATTAGGGATATGGAACAGCCTCCATAGGAGGAGAGAGAGACTCATAGACTTTAAAGCCGAAAGGAGCCATCATGATCATCTAGTCTGACTTGCACATTGCCGACCACAGAACCTTGCCCACCCACTCCTATAATAGACCCATAATCTCTGGCTGTATTACTGAAGTCCTCAAATCATGATTTAAAGACTTCAAGTTACAGAGATTCCAATATCAGGGGGTAGCCGTGTTAGTCTGTATCTACAAAAACAACAAGGAGTCTGGTGGCACCTTAAAGACCAACAGATTTATTTGGGCATAAGCTTTCGTGAGTAAAAACCTCACTTCTTCGGATGCATAGAGTGAAAGTTAGATGCAGGCATTATATACTGACACATGGAGAGCAGGGAGTTACTTCACAAGTGGAGAACCAGTGTTGAGATTCCAATATTTACACTAGTTTAAAACAGCAAGTGACCCGTGCATCATGCTGCAGAGGAAGGCAAAAGCCCACAGGGTCTCTGCCTATCTGAGCAGGGGGGAAATTCCTTCCCGACTCTAAATATGGTGATCAGTTGGACACTGAGCATGTCAGCAAGACCAACCAGCCAGATACCTGGGAAAGAATTCTCTGTAATAATTCAGAGTCCACCCCATCTAGTGTCCCATCTCCAGCCACTGGGGATATTTGCTACACTCCACTGTAGTCTCACCATACCATCCCCTCCATAAACTTATCAAGCTCAGTCTTGAAGCTAGTTAGGTTTTTTGCCCCCACTGCTTCCCTTAGACAACTGTTCCAGAACTTCACTCCTCTGTTGATTAGAACCATTCGTCTAATTTCAAGCCTAAAATTATTGATGGCCAGTTTATATCCATTTATTCATGTGTCAGCATTAGCACTCAACTTAAATAACTCCTCTCCCTCCGTTTTTTATCCCTTTGATGTACATATAGAGAGGAATCACATTTCCCCTCAGCCTTCACTTGGTTAGGCTAAACAAGTCAAGCTCTTTGAGTCTTTTCTCCATTGCTCTGATCATTCTTGTAGCCCTTCTCTGCACCTGTTCCAGTTTGAACTCATCTTTCTTAGACGCTAGTCTTTTTCATGGCCCCATCACATTGGCTGGAAAAAGGGGTAAACAGTTAGGTGGCAAAATTTGCAGATGATACAAAACTAC